AAATTCTAAAATAAACTCTCTTTGTTGTGAGAGTTCATTTGCACAATAGGCTTGGCTTCATGCCTCTAATAACCGTTCCATTCCTCCATCAGATCAGGGAGATATGAAACACATTACTAATAATTGGACTAAATTTAAGAGAGTAAATTTTTCCTTTATCCTAAATTTTTTGGATCGAACACAACCAAAACTTGGATATTGTTGTCTAACTAGGAGAATGTAGCAAGACTATTCATAAGAGGTTGATGACTAAAATTTATCCATCATAATCCCACCATTTTCAAGAGGGTTTTGAGGAAGGGGGAATAGAACTTAGGACCTTGGGTGCATAAGTAAATGCTCTTAATCACTCAAACTAGAATACCCTTGCATATTCCAACTTTTTAAATTCTGAATTGATGTGACGTACTCTCTTTTGGCAGAAGCATACTCGGTCTCATCTATTAAATTGATTCCTCATGGAGGATTTGCAAAACTAAATTTGTTTAATCTTTCAATAATGATGGATGCCCTTCTGCAGGCTTCTTATCCAGAACCAGAACAACACAAGAATTTGGCCACAATGTGCCAGTTCAAAGAAGCTTTGGTTGTTCAAGTGTTTTGGAGGTTCTTCCTAAAGTTGTCATCAGCTCTTAGGAGGGTTTTATGTGGGCCTATCAGCACAATTTGCAAACTCTGGTTCTCTCTGCTCTAAGGTTTTTTCATCAAATTTTATTGATTTAATAATTTAACAACAGCCAACGCGATCTAACCTAGCGAAACATCGCCATCAAAAAGAATGATTTAGCAGCATATTGAACTCTAAGAACACTGGAAAATTTGGTGGTTAGTCCATGATATTTAATTCCTGCATATCATCGATTTTCTCATGTTCAGTTAGCACGTACTTATCAAGAGGTCAATTATGCCGTTGATGGTGATAACTTGGTATATTGGGACATGACATTTAATCCTTTCTATCATTTGGCAACATTGCTTTCCCTCAGTAGTTAATCATACATATTATTGATTGATCATGCACCTAATTCTGGCTTTTCTTAGGTCCCACTTATAATTTTTATTGTTGACATAATTTTTTTTTTTTTTCTCTAGAGTATATTTTCTAGGAAAATATACTTCATTCCTTCCCTCCTTCCTTTCTAAGTAGTAACTTTACATTTATGCCGATGGTAGTATGATATTAGTTTTTGTGTGTGTTTTTGATGAATTAACTTTGCACATGTGTCAAATTATAATTTGCAGGAAGAAGAAGTATCTCTTTTTAGAGAAAGAGACAAGCAATATCCAATTTTCTGATTTCGCTTTAGGGGCAATGTTTATTTTATCCAACAAATATTTAATATTTGTGATATTTAGTTTTTGTTCCACCACATGGCATGGAAATGAGAGGTTTATTCCAGGTGAGAGGAGGGCATGGAAATTGTATAATGATAGTGTCACGTCATGTAATCATCAAAAAGCCTTGAAGGGCTGCGTGAAATAATTCGGTTACTTGCAAAGTGCATTGCTAACAAATGATTGCTTGTCTGGTCAGCCGTCACCAAGAATAATGCTATATAGCACAAAAGTAGTCATGCATGCATATTATGCATAGATGCATATGCATGCTTGAGGCAGCAACCATGCCGAAATCATAGTCGTCTTGTTTTTATTGAAGACATATATTGGTGTACATTTTGTTGATGATAATGGTATCGACACATTTTTGATGGTATATCAGCAGCTATAAAGACTTGATGTCGTGTATAATGTCAGCATAATAGGTTCCATACTGTTTATATTATATTTTAGATTATTTTGTCTAATATAAATATTTTTAGACCATTTAATCATGAAGAGCTCATTGTCTTGAATGACAATTCGTGCAAAGACATTATCTCATGTCTCTCATATGCATTGTTTACGATAAAACTAAAAATTATTTAACACAGTTAACGGGGTCTAGCCTAATGAAAAAGGATCTTGAATTTGACACAAGATTGAATTTAAAGTATTGTCCATCTTAACCGTTGGACACTTATCTCTGACACTTGTTCTAACACATGAAGAAATTGAACTCTATATTACACAAATCATTAGATAAAGTATATATCTATTTTAACACTTAGATGCAGTGGTGGATCTAGGATTCAAAAGTCAAGTAGGCGAAATTTACCTTAAAAACTTGATGGTATGAGTGAATTTTATTCATAAAAATGAAAAGATACACCTAGTCAGGGGGAACGTAATGAGCCTTACCCTCAAATATGCATATCTATACATAAATAAAAGCTTGACAAAAAAAATAAGAAGTAAATGAAATGCAACACAAAACTAAACTATTTAAATCTAAAACTTTACTCTACGAGGCTTAGAAATCTTAAATTCCTCAATTATATGTTTATTATCGATATTATTAGCAAACTCTCTTTCAATGTGGAGAATCATGCAATCAACAAGGAATTCATCATCTATGGTGCTCCGAAGTCTATTCTTAATAATTCTCATACATGAAAAAACTCATTTCATTGTTGCTGTAGAAACAGGAAGAGTCAACACTAACAGAATCAACCTGTAAAGCAAATGGTAGTTTTCTGCCAAAGTTGTTTCCGCCAATTGTTGACATAACTGAAGAAGAGTGATGATGTCCTTAAAGCAGGGAAGGTGATGCATATCATTTTGAAAATACCTCAACTCAATTTCTAAAGCTTTCAAGTCACTTGGACTGAAATCAGCAGGATATAATTTCTCAGTAAGTTTACATAGATGCCCAATATTGAATGATTTGAAGGATTACGAGGATCTAATGTTGAGCTAAGAATAAGAAGTTTAACTGTTTGCTCTGGAAGTCTGTCATTTAACTCCCTCAACATGCAATCTATCACATCATTAAATACATCAACACGATAGTAATGTTCAATTGTAATAAAATCTTTTTGTTGACAAGAACGACGTGTTCCAATCATATAACGAAAACTCATATTAGGAACATCAATACCATGTTGTTCACAAAATGATAACACACTCATAAATAAATCATCCTAGCCATGTGCCCCCATATCTTAAAACTGTGATTTTGTGTTTTCAACAAAGTTTAAAGCACTTACAATATCTTGAGTTTTTGTCTGAAACACTTGACAAAGAAAGTTGGTCAATCCCATAATTTTATCCATCAAAAGAAATGAAAACACAAACTCAAAAGACATCATAGCAATATAGTTATTCTCTGCATCACCACGAAATTGTTGGTTAGGTCCATAATCACCGAGAAGTATTTTAGTCTCTTTAAATAAACTCATCAAAGTTGTAATAAAGACAAAGTGAGATCCCCAACAAGTGGCTCCAGCTCGTTTCAAACTTCGACCTTGATTAAGTCCTCTACTTGTCTCAAGTTCCCCAGAATCCAACAATTCTTTGAGTTTAGCTTTTCAAATTAAATTTAACTCATTACGGCGCTTAGCAAAAGTACTAACAAAATTCACAATGTTAGTCAACATTGAAAAAAATCTCCATACAACTTTCACATGCTTATATTGCTTTTTATTGTTTTTGTTAATGGAGAAAGTTTGAGTGAGTTGGGCTATTGTTTTTGTTAAAGGGAAAAATTTGAGTGAGTTGGGTTTGAGTAGGCAGAAGAAATTTGATTGTATTGGGTAATTTTTGGTTTGGCAAAAGATGGAGTAGGCGACTGCCTACCATGTCCTTAGGGTAGGATTGCCTTTGGTAGGTTGGGTTTGAGTAGGTAGAAGAAATTTAATTGTATTGGGTATTGGGTAATTTTTGGTTTGGCAAAAAATGGAGTAAGCGGCTGCCTACCTTGTCCTTAGGGTAGGATCGCCCTTGGTAGGTTGGGTTTGAGTAGGCAGAAAAAAATTAATTGTATTGAATATTGGGTAATTTTTGGTTCGGCCAAAAAAGGAGTAGGCGGCTGCCTACCCTACTCTTAGGCTAGGACCGCCCCTGCTTAGATGCATATGTCTCCTAGCGGAAAGTTTCTCCATACATAGTACATTATTTCGGACTCATGCATCTTCTACAATGGAGCTAATGTCGAGATTTTTTACCTCAAACATTTTGTTGGATATATAAATATATGTGGTTCTCGAATTTGAAGACAAAAATTTATCTATAATCTTAGTACATTTTGAAGAACCAATTCTTTGCTACAACTGATACTAAATTCAGGTCATATGTACATTGCTTTGGTTTTAAGTAGACCTTGCTCATGCTACCAAACAACTCATGCTCTTAACTAACATTATCATTGTTGAAGTGGTTTCTGAACAACTAAATGAAGCCCTCAAAACAGTGGGAGATATTGAAATCAATGTTTTATTAATGGTTAAAACTGAGGGTGAATGTATTCAAATAAAAAAAAATTGTCTTTTAGCCCACAATTTTTATTTATTTTAGGAAAAGCATAATTTTAGCGAGGAAGAAAGAAAGAGATGATGATAAAGATTATAAGAAAGTTGATCCTTTAGTGTTCTGTTGTTAATTACTTTATTATCACACACCGAATTCAGAATTTTACTCTACTCTGGGTCAAGGGTGTGTGACAGAGATAGTATTGTAGCACCTGATCTCTGTTCTTCTTGTCCCTCCTGTTGGCAGAAGCATGCATTCATGTTATCATATCATGACATGACAAAAGAAGGGTCTGGACTTTGGACCACCAAAAGAAATAAAATTGAGATAGCTTTTGGGCGCAGTTTGCTTTGTGAAAGCACTAGGAGTAGTTAGTTAGAGGTTAGATCTATTTATAATCACATGGGGTTCACTACTTTAATGTCATTCTCATCCCTTCTTCAGGAATTAACTTATCAATTAGATGTTGAGAGGCATCTTTGGTGGGGAATCATGCTCACTACCAGAACTTAATTATAATATCAAACAAATAAAGGAAAATCAGAAAGTTAGAGAAGAAATTAAAGGAAGTTTGCTTTTCTCAGCTATACAATTATAAAAAAGAAAAAGGAGAAGAAATTAATTATATTTAAAAAAGAAAAAAAAAGAGAGCATATGCATGCCTTGTCATATGGCAGTGCTTTCTCATTGAATTAAAATATGGATTGCATTGTGCCAAGTATGATTACAAGATACAACATTATTCACTGAAAGTGCTCATTTGAAGCATTTAGTACCAAACCCAAAGCTGACAAGAAAGTACAAATGGAGAGATACACTAATTAAACATGACCATTTGATTTTGATGACCAAGCCAATGCTCATAACAGATGGAAAGTTTCAAGAGGATTTTGGCCACTTCTTCTGGATTTCAAAGTAGTAACTCATGTCCAAGTAGCATTTTCCATCATCATCCAGAAACTGAAACAAGAAAATTAAGAAAATTATAAATTAAAAAGCATTATAAAAAAAAAAAAAAAAAAAACCAATGTCAATGAATTAAGCCTTACTTTTGTTCTCACACAATACCAGCCCCTGGCAAACATGCTTGAAGGGACAGTTTCTTCTTCAGTCTCATATGTATAGGGATCTTGCCTAGGGCTAAAAGTTCCAAGCATTCTTTTTGAGTTGTCCACTGTCAAAAATTTTTGAACAATTAATCTCAGTAATTTTTGTGATTATATTATACAATTTTGATTTTAATTATGAATGTAAATTTTTTTTTTTTTTTTTTTTTACCTCTGACACCAGTCTTCCACACTGTATTGGTGTACTTGAGGCCTGAGACTATGTTTTTGGAGACAGTAAATGTAAACCTCATGCGCATATGGCATCCGTCTTTCAGTGTGAAGAGGCTGCTCTTGGGTTTGTTTGTGAATGGAATTGGGAGGACAATATCCGGCCGGCCCCGGCACATGATTGTGAGGCTTAAGACCTTCACTTCTGGTTCTTTGCTTTCTGATATTTAGGAATTCCAAACAATAATAAATGCAAACCCAATTGAGAAAAAAAAGAGCAGAGAAAATTAAATACCTCCAGCAGTAGAGAGATCAACACTCCCAAGAAGTTGTTCCTTCCATTTCCTCAAACTCTCATCATCCTTAGAAGAATTATTATATATGTGAATGTGATGAATTGGACAACATTAATGGAAGACTTAATTAAAGAAAGAAGAAAAAAAAAAAAAAAAAAATATAAAAAAAAAAAAAAAAAAAAAAAAAAAAAAAACAGAAGAAAAGTGGACACATACTTTATCTTTCTCAAGCTGCTCCTTGAGAGAAAACTGAGGGCCAAGGACCAATTCCTTTTCAGATTTCAATGCGGCAACCTCATCATCCTCTTCGTCTAGGTCACCCTCCTCCGCATTATGATCATCACCTTCGGGAAGCTGGCTTAGGCTTGGTTGATCATCACCAAGTGCAGCCGTGTTTTTCATGTCATCATTCTTAACTAGCTCCTCTTCCTCCCTTTGAGAACTGAAAGTAACATCTTTGGTTGCAGAGATAGCTCCCACGGCGGCCGACATTTTTATCAAAAGAAGAGGAGTATATAGAAGATTTCGGTCTGGTTATGTGGCCCTTCCAAATTACTTGTACCAAATTCAGAGGCTGTTTACCATATTGGGATGCTTTCACTCGTTTTCTAAGTGTGCTGGCAAGAGATGGAGGATGACTGGTTGAGCAGGGAATTATGGGGCTTCGTCGGATATGAAGAGGATTTGGAGCGAATTTTAGGCAGTTGAATATGTGTGTATATATAATGTTTGGAGGACAAAATGCTTAGTTTTGGGCTGGTTAATAATACTAGTAACTGAGTGTGGGAATTGACCTTTCTACCCCTTATGTTTCCTTTATAATAACCTTCCTAAGTGTAAGTTCAACCATTTATGTAAGTGTATGTATATGCACACTCTGGTTGATTAAGAATTCTTCTATAGTGCAATTTGTTTCCTTTAAAAAGGAAAAAGAAAGTTCTTTGACGGTACAGAGCAGCATGCAGTCATGATGGCATGATAAAAAAGAAGCATGGAGTCATGATGACTCGATCAAAAAGCGAACAGGAGAATAATTTGAAAATAAAAGAGAGAAAAAACAATACAATTTGGTCTAGTGACACTCGGTCTTCACTTGTTAGATAGAACAACAAATGTCAAAACACACATCGGATGATATGTTTTCAAGATATATTGGCGGTCTTTAGCTAGACTCGCTACTTGAAATGGTTACTGAAATGCTATAAAAATAAAATAAAAAATAAAAAATGGGTTTTGAAATGATTTCGAATCTTGACTTTCATTGCATTCACTAACAACTTTCCCTCGCGTTACAATCCATAACCAATACCAATAAATAAGGAATTAGATTAATTAGGGGTAGTCGATCCCATACACATTCACGACTTCCTTGATTCATGGATTAGGAATTAGATTGATTAGGGGGTAGTTGTTAATCAATGAAAGTATGATATAATTTACATAATATTCTTCACCTCTAATCCGGGGGTGCCCATTTCATAATTTTGGGATGATGTGAATTTTCACTCAGTTGAGGAACTGTATCTGCCAACAACTAAACATGATGGCCAATCTACAGAAATGCTCTTTCCATACCAAGGTTCATTGTGACAAAACCCAACACCAACTTAAAAGCGGTTATTAGCTTGCCATCCACTTCTACATAAGAAAGTTGAATTGTTTATGAAGAGCTCTAAATGGTATCCTTCCATGTAAGTTGGACCTTTATCGCTGGAAAATTGTGCAGTTTCCGTAGTTACAAAAACAGGTTGAAAAGATATGATCTGAACACAAAGCTTTTATTCTTTAATAGATCTGTCTACGCAGTTGGTAGATAAAACTTGGGTTAATAGTTGGGTTGGTGCCTCTGCCTCCGGGCTCTAGTATTGCAACTGTTGAAGTTGTCCAAGGTCATAGAATAGGTTCTTTTAAATAAAATAAAAATTTATATGCAGTTTCTTTATGGCTTCAAGTTACAGAATGATCGCAACTCCAATCTACACGGATCCTCAACCAAGTGTAAAAGCCGGCCCATGCTATCGATAAAACGAATGTTTATTTAGCTGCTGTCGAAAGGCCCTCTCCATTGTATAAATCATGCAGGACGAAATATGCTAGCCTTGTCTCTACTACGAGACATACTTACCTACACCGAAGATGCCACTGTTACGGTATCCCAAGCCAACGCATTACCATGTGTAAAAGTTTAAACGCATCCCTAGTGTAGCTAAGTTTCTCTCCTCTATTATGGCCACTGTAACAGAACTTTATGTTGTCATTGAAGGGCTATCAGTACCACTGGATATGGGTGTTTACAGAGAGAAAAATACCCATCAGCATGTCTGCTTTAGTGAAGAATTGAAGATCGATATATTAGACATGCCTGATCCAAATTATTATTTATATAAAGCACGGACCATTATTTTGCTTGGCTTTGATAATGATGTTATCATATGATTACAGAAACCCAATAAGTGATCAAACATACAAGAAGACATCAGAACTATGAATTATTCAGATTATATCCTTTCAACCTTCCTCAACCTACGGAAAGTTGTCTACTTATCATATCCATATGCATACAGAAGCCAAACACTGACGTACTGTTCAGCAAACAAGCATATGAATGCAATACTTTCTATATACCAGTACATTCGGCAACTGCAAGACAGTCGTTCCACTGAGTTTCCTGAAGATCATGCATACAGCAGCTGCCTACATTGAGTACCCAAACATGGCACAGTTTTTGGAACCACGGGTAATACTACCCAGATCAATGCTACCTGGCTCGTAAGGTTACAAACAGAGATTTTATAGGGGCTGCGGTCGTGTCTGGACTATATAGATATCTTTGCCAACAACACATCCTTCTATGTCCTGAGGGCAGCCAAACTTCTGCTCAAGGAAAAATCCCACTGTACTGAGGCGCTGACCAAGCTGCTGACGGAAAATTGGATCAACAGTTAATGGTTTCTTGCTGTAGTCTACAGTCAAATGGATAACCTCCCCATCAGCAGGGCCTGTACCAAGTAGCTCCTCACTGAAATTCGCAAATGCCAGTGTTCGCACATTCCCATCAAATTTCCCAGACGAGAGACGCCAAGGTGTGCCCCTAGTGCCTGAAGCCAAAGTTTCACCAAGGCCAGAAGCAATTTCAGCCTCAACAGAATTATGATCTTGGTCCGTTGGGCTGACGGTATGAAGCACAAATGATAAGTCTGGTGAAAGCATTTCTTGCACCAGAATTGCCATTGTAGCTTCCTTCTGAGGTACACCGGCAGATCGACGGCTCAAAACTGCCCTCCGAGTGTAAAGTGAAGCCCACACTCTGCTAATAGCATTTGCAAAAACTGTTGGATTTGAAACACTTACATTGGGTATCGAGTCATATAATCCAGCTGCTGACATTCCAGCCAAGTCCTCGACGTTAGCACTTGAACGAACAATTAGGCGTGCATTGCCTGGAAATATTCTCCCAATGCCATTAATGATGTCTTTCGGGGGCTGTAGGGAAGAGACTAGTTCCTGGAGCTGACTGCAAAGTTGGTCAAGTTCCCCACCTTCCGGCTTCAGTGTTTCTATCTTATCTAGAAAGGACGAGAATAAATCGGTGGATTTGCTTTGCTTTAATGCCAATTCCATAGAGCCAAATGGTATCACTGCCCCCGCAGGGACATTAAATGAAGCTGGTACCCCTTGGTCACTATAAACTGCCAATGAAAAACCAGTCCTCAAGTCAATGTGATGGAATAACAACATATGCAGGAAAATGGCTGATATCTATTGCGCAATCCACAATCCCTTGTTCATTGTATGCAACAATTGTCTACAGGACATCCTAATGCACGCCTAAGATAATTTTGTTTTTATTGAAATTTAAATGGCTTCATTTTATCATAAATCACATTGATGGAAAAATCCATCATTCATCATGAATCAATTGTTAAAAGTAGAAGCAAATTTCATAGCACGGTTATCTTTAATTTTTTTCTTTTCTCCTTTCAAATAAATATCACTATTTACTTGATGGATATGGACATTTGATAAATTCCCTGCAAGATGAATAAGTTCATTAGAATTCAAGGGATGTCAAAAGCTGCGCAAGTAGACAAGGATAATAAGAAAACATTTATTTTATCAAATGCATTAAACTCATAACCCAGCAGTCCCATAAGGCAAAAGGTATATTATTTCTGTAAAAATTTGAAGACATCCACTTTTCAATCAAGGGTCATTTACCTTTCCAGCCAAAATGGTATTGTTCTTTGCTTTAAAAAAAATTTCTTATAAATTTTAAAGAACAGATGCACACTTTATAAGTTTACAAGTTATTGTTTTCTCTGTGCCAAACTCAAATTGAAATCAGAATTCAAAATAAAGACGAATTGAGGCCCAAGAAGTGGTAAAGTGAACTTAAAGGCCTGTATGCTGTAACCGGAAAAGAAGGCCTGTATGTTCGTCCCATCAAATTTCAACACCTCTATTCATCTGGAGGCAATATGTAATGTATAAAGAATAAAAATAGGGATTTGGTGACTGAACACGTCTTGTCCATGTCTTTTCCTATGGTTCAGTACAAATGAGCAGTAGGTATGTGGAGTGAGTGAGTTCGGATCCAGTTTGGTGCTAAGGGTGAGAGGATAATTCTATATAGGCTACACAAGAAGTTAGACTCACGGTGTGCTCTAATTTGATTTATTGCCGTTTTACTGTATGGAAGATGGCTTTGATTTGAATTTTTCAGGAGTCTATGGTCCTAATGGTGTCAGTATGAGGAGGTAGTTGTAGGAGCAGTGGGGAAAGGTGAGTGGGAGATCTGGAGAACCTTGGGTGGTGAGGGGAGATTTTAATGTCGTAAGGTTCAAATTACCATAGCAGATTTGAAACATAAAACATGACTTCTAACGGAGAAAAAGTCTAAAAGAGGATGAATGAGGTTTTGTTTGGAAGAAAATGCGGTCGTAACAACCATAAAAATTACCTTTGTCAGATACTGCTGCCAAAGAAGCTAAACGACCACAAGCCGCAGCCTTTGCGCCTGAAGTCTCTGCTTCTGCATCAGCAAGTAGTAAAATTCCACCAGAAACACCCTAGATGAGGAAACAACTATTAATATAGTCACAGGCAACATAATTTCTGATGATGAAAATCAACATCAATGACCAAAAGAAAAAGATAGTTAACATTTTGGGATTGAGGAGAGAGATTAAAAATAAAACAAAACTCTACAGTACCTTCTGGAAGTATGGGGCTTTAGTAGGAGACTGGGAAGGATCATGGGTGCCAAGGGCTTCAATCTTGGGTGCAGCATCACCTGAAAGATTTTTCACTGCAAAACTGCCATTGCTGTTTTCTGATGAAGGATATATATCAACACTTGTAGGGGATGCTTCTAACCTGAAAATTTCAAGAATTTGAGGCATAAAAGTAAATAACAAAAATACTGCTACAGCTGTAAGTCCCAAAGCATCAACTACTTGATGCATGTCAATAGTAGGAGATGAATTTTTTAAGCATGTTTCAAAGACTCTTCAAAAGTTTAGAAAAATTAACCTAACATGTTTTCCCTTATGTTTTTGTATATCGGAAACTTTGTCATCATCTTCACATGTCACGAACACAACCTTCTCCTGCAGATCACCATCATAGTTTATTTATTAGAAATATATATCATATGTATATGTATACAAAAATTCATTTTAAAAGCATATAATGACTTGAAAATTGGACAGACAAGACATACTTGTCGAGCTCTGACACCAAGATGAGATAAGTGGGGAAGCTCTTGCAGAAGTATGACTCCCACAATGTTACTCCCAGCAGCTGTAACCTGCCAGATATATGAACTGTCAGAAAAGAATGGTAATTTGATTGTGTTACATTGCTACTGTCAGGACTAAAAATATAAGAATAAGAGAAATGGAAAACCTCTTCATCTCCATCAGCTCTGTTGACCATGAGAATGATTGGTCCTTCCACAGTAGATGGTATTGACCCAGGGACAATCCTCTCAACCTGAAGTTATGGTAGTATATATGGGTAACTGCGAACTAAATAATTGCGACAATGCAATCATTACTAGGTACTTATTGTTTTTCTGTATGCATAAACACATCATATGTACATTTTATCTAGTTCATATGACTTTAAAAGTTCTTTCACCTAATTTAACACCTAAGAATATTCTAAGTTTCCAAATAAATCTATTTATGTCTATCACTTTTATTATTCCTTTTTTCTTTTTCAAAATAAGTCGATATTTGATCTCTATAAATCTGTACTTTTTGAACTTTGACATGGTGTTCAACTTCAACATTCCAATCCTTGTTTTGTACTAAGCCCTTATAAATAAGTTTAAATTCCAAGAAGACATATAAGCTGAATCTTAAACCTTTTATTTTAGGGATGTATTCAGCCAGAAAGATATGTTTGGATAGAAAAACACGAACTTTAAATATTATATATATAACTAATGGGACATTCTCCAATAAGTATTTAAGTTAAGGATTTGTTACATACTTCTAATCTCTACCAACACATTTAATGAATGCAATCCAATGGCCAAGATTAGAATTATGTAACCAATCCTGAACATAAAAAACTTATTGGGGAATCTCCCTATAACTAACTAGAAAGATGATACTCGATGTGGATGCTATTTCGCACTTAAGGCGATCAATCATGGAGGTTACCTGAACTAATGTTCCCAGAGCAGCTCCCGGCACAATAACATCCCAACCTTGAGAACCAATGATAGTTCTAACAGCTTTTAAAAGAAGGGTGCAGAGTTTTGAAACCTGGAATATTACACTGGACATGGCATTTGTAGGTAGAAAGTCAGACAAGAATAGTTCCCATATAGCACCACTATATACATGCCTAAAAAATTATGTTAAATGAACAAAGATATATTTAACAGATAAACATACCCAGCGCGAATCTCAGCTTCAGCATATGTCCTTACACTGTTCTCAGGGATTCCAAAAGCTTTTCCTAATATCTGCAAGAATTGTTGTAATTCCAGTTGAAATTTGTTCTAGACTTTTAGCAATTTTCTTATGCTGATGAATTAAGTCAACTGGTAGAAATAATATCAAACAGATAAGAGAGAATGAAAAGGCTCAAAGAAGATTTATCAAAGAAATACACATCATTGGACCACAAAATAAATGTAGTATATACGCCCAGAACATTTGGCATGTATTTTCAAGAAATGCTTAAAATCAAAACATATTGTGGTTCAATTGTTTATAAACAAGGATTTGATGCGTTAATCATCATCCAAAGAGATTCCATACAAGCTTTGTTGTACAGGACGCCATATTTGGCCTTATCAACCAAATTTTATTTTTCTCAAAAGATACCTGGACGTTTTGGGGAAATATTTGAAGAAGTGCTTCAGAATATTCTTCAGTTAGCCTCCTTGCTCTATCAAGAGTAGCTTTATGCCTCAGTCCCCAGATTATTTTGCCATCTTCACTTCCTTCATGAACAGAACAGGAGGAAAATTGAAACAAAAGGTTGGGCTGTTTAAACACTATCAAAAGTATGCCAGCTATATGATATAAGAGTTAATGCACGACAAAATGATAAGAAAGTTACCTTCCCTTTCAGAAAGACCTCTTGCTTTCCATGCAAGGAGTTCATTTTCAATAGCAGCACATTCTTCAGGCTTCCAACCAGATAACCTTAGCTGATGAATACCGACAATAAGTGCACCAAGTGGATCATTCCAAGGGCTTACATCCTTTGATTTCACGTTTTCTGCCAGCCAATGAGCCCCTCCCAAAGCATCAAGCTCATTAAGGAATCTAACCAAATCAATGATTGTCAATAACGTAATTAACACCCAGAACATTTTTCTGTAAACTAGACTAATTGACTAGAACATCTTTCACGTTTTATTGTGATCCTTAAACAGTTATGGTTTTCTGAAACACAAGTTTATGATAGTACTATAGCTAAATGCTAACTCATACTGAACGGAGGTTGGATCAGTCTTCCATTGACAAGTGTCAAATATGCCAATGATTCATGAAAAGAAGAATGTTTAGGTTTGGGGGAAATTACATAAGAACTTTTGATTCGAGCAATGTGTCCCCTAAAGTAAGGTAAAATTTTGAATTTCTCAAATTGCCACAGGAACATGACATCACTCAAAGCTAAAGTAACATACTAATGAATAAATTTTAAACAAAATGAGACAATTAAGAAAACACAGGACATTCTTCTTTGCAATATTAACAGTGACTAACGCAAAGACAGGCATCCTTATCTCTAAGCAAACAACGTACCCACCATTACTCAATAACTTATGGTAAGCTCCTGTGAGCACAAAGGTATTATAATAACCAAAGAAACCAAATTGTAACAAAGAATTTTCCTGCACAGTTTCTGTGAGTATGATGAACTCAAGTTCTGTGAGGCAGGTTCAACCAACAGGAAGCAACTCTATGGCCACTTACTGGTGGTTCCACTGTAGAGAAGAACCGGTTCTGAAGGTACTGAGTCTTCAATTCTCAATGTGGTGAAATTTGTGGAGATAATGAATTAATATTTATTTTAAAATTATTAAATATTTTTCCTATATATCATTTCAGCCTTGAATATCACATGCAAGTCACACAGTTGGTAGCATTTGACAGGTTGTGATCAAGGGGCTATAAGCCATTTTCCATTTTCAAGGGGGGCATTGCTCAAATAGAAACTTCGAACACTACTTAGACATAGGGGTGCAAGTCCAGGAGGCATTAAATTTCCCTAGTATTTATCATGTGAAATGAAAGAAAATTAAATAATACTAATCCAGAATCTGGTTTTAGAGCAAAGTTCCTACCTGCTTAAAAGAATAAATGAATAGTCCTCAAGTCCAATCTCGCAAAGACGCCACTGTATTTGTTCATAGAGAGATGAAGAAAGAAACAGATAAACATTGGGAGCAAAATCATGAAATTCTGAACTAGTTAATTGTTTCAATCGAAGCTTTTGCTAAATAATTATGAAAAATGATCTCACCTTTTGACGCATAGCCACTGCTGTATCAGGAGCATCATTTCTAAGGCCACTTTCAAGACCCTTGGCAATTATTTCTCTCAGGTCACTCAAAGATTTCATGGTCTTGAATAACAGATCCGTGCCATTCTTTCCCAAGCCTTTGTTTGATACTTCTAAAGTATACAAACTCTGGAATTTTTTTATTGAAAATAAACATTGTTCATAAGATTATGCCCTCATAAATCAAACACCACGGACAAAATTAAACTCAAAAAGGAAATACCAATAGAAATTAAAAATCCATAGTAAACAGCACCCATACTTATAAATCATGACTTTGTTGATTTGAAAGAAAAAAATTGTCATATCCTTCCTTTCAAAGGGGTAAAGGAGGATAACTTTTTGCTTAAGCAGTTAGATTATGTTACACTTCAGGAGTGCAGTAAACAAGATAATACCTAATCCAACTACAAAATAACTCAAAAATATATAAATGACTTAGATGTATATGCTCCTTAAGGAGCTGAAATTCTTAACACAAAAAAGGCCTCGATCCAACTTCAAGCTCAGAACTGATAAGGAGGGTGCCAAATTGACAACAGCCTCAGTTGTCACCATCTTAGATTTTATAGGGGCACATTGTGAGAGGGCCCAACCCAAAGATGATGACGAACCAATGAGGATTAGCATGCGAGCTAGACTTAAGAAAACGGCGAGTATGAGAAGAGAAAGTGGGTATATGGGATGAAAATGGGTGGGTTGGATAATGTATATTAGTAACCTTAGATTGTAAACTAAGTATTAGTTGGCCCACATGACGATTGGAAAAACAACTCTAGGCGTCATGTAAATTGAATGCTATCTCTAGGTGTCACGTAAAATTGAACCACTGTCCAGTTTGTTTTATGAACCCCAAACGACAACAATAACAAAATTTAGGTGTGCAAGTTTTATGCTTAATAATTGTAGGCATAAAATTTTGTATCAGCATGACCACATAACAAAAAATAAAATAAAACTAAACAAATAAGCAATAGAATATTGGCCGAAATTGAACTTCACATAATTCATTTCAGAAGGATCTTCATATGCCTGCTTCAAAACATAAAATCACTCCAATACATGAAATTGAAGCAAATTAAATGTGAAGGTCTACCTTTTTGCACTCCAAAAACAATGCAAGAGCTGACTGGCCTTTATCATCGATAGAGTCTTTGATGGATTCAAGTTGTTCAGCGAGGCTAGCACATAGTCAAAACCAAATATCACATCAGCAGCGCTCAAAATTCCAATTATAAATCAAAGCATATTAATCAACACGCAAATTTAATAGAAGATTAATCACTCCAAGCCAACCATTTCAAACATGAAGCTGAGAGTGGGGAGTAGCTTTGGTCACTCCGAGTTTAACACAAATATCCTCATATACAAGTTAATCAAGTTTATTTTGAACTTTAGGGAAATATTTTGGTTAGTACATACGTAAAAATAATTTCTAAAAGCATTGTTAAACTACAAGATATATTAATAGTTTTTGCACATTGTTTAAAATTGAACTTTTAAATCTGGTTGAAAAAAGTTTTTGTTAAAGTTTTTTTTGGATATAAGCTGGTTGAAAAAATATATGGAAGTGACAAAAGCACCCAAGTATGAATCATAGACAACAGAGTGGATAAGATATATAAATTTCCTAATCAACTCATCTTCGAACATCTATTAAGAGCCTAGTTACCTCCTAAATTTCTCCACATAAGGAAAAGAGGTGGGAATTCAAATTCTTACCAGGGTCCCTTAAACCATTATATTCCACATGTTCAAGAAAGGTCAAACATGCTTTCCCTCACAGATTTTCTACCTTTTTATCCCTGTGGATAAAACAGATCTCCCAATATCATGCCTATGACTATTTCCTATAAATGCAGGGGTAAGGCTCTACACACTTCTCCTCTGCCTTACTTTTTGATAATTTAGTTGTAGTAGAATAGGAATTCCGCATCCATAGTAGCAAATACTTTTATGTGAATTTTGGAAATGGAAACAAGAACCTTATAAGTAAATAAAAGTTCAGGTTTTAAGAGGTTCAGCCACACTGCATGGATATTAGTTTCTCAACATCTTGCAGAGAAGTTTATGTTGATGTAGAATATCATTTAAACTAAGTTCCATAATATTTTTCTGAAATATTATTTTATTCATCAGAAAAAGAGATGTTACTGGATGCAAAATTTATTTCATGTCAAAACCTTCCAGCATTGAAGAAGTCCTTGAGTTCATGATGGAATATCTTGAACTGCTCCACAAATGCTTCATTATACTCTCCAGGGTTCTTTGTTATTCTTGCAAGCATTGCTTCTGTAGCAACTAGATCTTCAGGGCCGGCATTGCGGTGAAGCTTGTTTTGTATAGTATGCTTAATTTCTTGCTGAAGTTTATAAAATTGTTCAATATCAAAACAACATTAATTGTAATAGAAATATATGCACCAATCGACAGAAAAGTGTAACCTTGAGGTCATGAGGGATATCATTCCGATGAGCAATGTCTCTTATTCGTGTTAGGGGAACAGATGCAGTAAACTCTGCCTTGAAAGATGGCAGACATGGATGAATTTTGCGGACAACCAGTACTTCCTGGACATTAGAAATAAAATATTCAACTGAGAACCAGTAACCAAAATATGAAGTTACAAAGCAAAAGGACAAGATGCAGATATGAGTATGCAAAGATATGTGAACTCCTAGTGATTCTGTCTCTGCATCATTATTTATCAACAAAACATTGTGCTTTGAAGGAGAAATGCCAAGTTTTGTTTGTATTATAGTGTGATGGAAATATCTGGTTTCTTTGGCTGGAAAGAGTTAGTAGGATTTGTTAGGGAAAAGGTGGGGAGGAAGTGAATTTCTAGTGGGATAGACTTTAGACTTTGGGCGTTGCTGTGGGATTCAAATTTAAAAATACTCCATTGCCTTTCCTTGAGTGGATTTGGGGAGCAGCTGTATCTTAAGTCATTTCTGAAATCTTAATGGTCATTCCTGTTGGTTGTATAAGATTTGATTGTATCTTCTTGGTGGACTGCTGTTCACTGTTGTTCAGTTTACATCTATAAAATCCTTTTTCCATGCTTAAAAAGATAAAGAAATGTAAATTTCTATTGCACTTGATCATTTCTGCATCATATATTCTTCCAATTTTTAAATTTTAATGCTAGGTACAATTTTTCAATGGACATCTAAATGTTAATATTTTTTGTCCTAGAACCAATCAAGTCCTAGCACAAATGTATTCTACTATCAGTATTTACAAGTTTGAGTAATCAGAGAAACTGTAGGACTATCTATTGCACTAGACACGTTCTTTTCTCTCTACACAAAACTTAACTTGTTTTTCTGGTTCCCAGAATCAGACATATAAAACAAAGATTCACTAAGCTACCAAAGGAACTAACATGATAGAATTAAATTATTTGGGAAATTTCCTATATCATAGATGGAAATTTCCTAGAAATCAAATTCTGGAAGTGAAGGCCCCCAACGTCATGAATAAGAACTAATCTTGTCCTCTATTCAAGTTAGGGTCCATTTGGCATAGCCCTGATGAGATTATCTTTTACATAGAAGTCTATTTCAACAAAAAAAACATATATAACTCATTTCACAATTGTCATTACTAAAAAATTCATAAAAAAAACCACCAAAATCAATGGTTGGTCCAAATCCATGTCAAACAAGACGAAAGACCACCTGGGTTGAAGTATCTTTCCTACAGGAAATTCTTTCCAGTTCTCGAAATATAACCCTGGAAATCTCTGCATGCCGGTTTGGTCGATGATGACCTCCATCTTCAAAGCAAGGAATCTGGCCTGTGTTTATCCACTGCATTACCAAGAAAATCTAAGTATTGCCAGCAAAAGCCAAAATAAGAATGAAAGTCGAAAATAAAAGAACGAGAAAAACCTTCAAATAAATGGCAGAATTTATGAGAGCATCCAACCGGTCCTCACTTTGTGAACTTCCAACGAGTAGATCGCGTACAACTTCAAGCTTCAACATTAAAAGGTGTACAATTAAAGCAATGAAAAAAATGGATTTTGAAATTAAGAAAACTGACAAAATAAAAAATTTCAACCATATAAAATGAAATTTGGATTTAATTAATCTATGAACTGGAGCAACAACTTGTAATATAACCACCTTTTATCTTTGTTGACAAGGTCTCCTACATATAAGGACTTCAAATCACATAATTAGAAGCTGACTACTAGCTTTAGTATACCTAAATCGTTAAAGTATTATCATATTATTGTAATTTGATATCAATTGTAACAGCCAATGGCCACAATCAAAAAAACATTTAAAGAAAGAAAAAAATTCACCAAAACTTGAGCCACATAACATGAATAACAATATATGAGCACTAACCACGTTTAAATCTAAAGGTATCAAATAAGAAAATAAGTTTGGCATGATCCCCTCAGCAGTCCAAAATGAAAAAAAAAATAATAAAGATACCGTCATGACAGATTTCATATAAAACAACCCAAAGGCATAACTCCCTGTTTGAATTCAAACATCAAAGCTTCTTGAACAATGTGTAAAAATTTAAAACACACAACAAGAGATAAATAAGTATTCAGAAAGCAATTGTTAATGTAAATGGTGTTGGCGAGTATCTTTGTACTTGTATAAATACCTCTATATTGGAGAAGAATAATAATATGAGCAAATATGAGCATAATTGAATATTTGCCCTACTTTGTTTGACAAATGGTATCTCAGGAAAGCAGAGACAACATTCAATTCCAGATTTACTGAATAAATCTCATAGATTTTGAAAATTCAGATAAAAGTCAATCAATCGAGGTACCTTTCTCCACCAATTCCTTGCATTTCGATCACCTTCAACTAATTTCAGAGCCAAACCTTCAAGACCTGAAGTGTCCCATATTCTTCCAGCTTCACGGTTTCCATGCTCATTCGACCGCATAAATGAGATAGCATTCCCCTTCCACTGACCAACAAAAGGACTAGTCCCCACCTCTGGAGTACTAACAGTATCAACAATTGACCCATTATTTCCCACATCCTCCTCTTTCTCCAAAGGCAGCAAATCCACAGCCTCCCCTGTTGCATTCCAATGACTAACAATCCCAAAATTTCCTCCTTTGGGAAGTTTCAAGACACGGTTATCACCACCTTCCCAAAGCACACTCTTGTCCGCCCTAACAGTCAAAAACTTATACTCAACAGACTCACCCCCTTTGAACTCCAAGCTGCATACCCATCCGCTCTCGGTCCAATTCATAGGCACCCTCTTCTTCCATGATCCCAATTCCTTTATCGATCCCAAAATCACAACACTCTCACCAAATTCAACTTGGTGATCCAATCGAACATTAAGCCGAACCTTCTCATTCCCAGACTTGGACTTGGACTTCATCTTGCTTTCCTTCTCCTCTTCTCTGCCAACAGAAAAAATGAATAAGAATGACTTTATTATAACTTGTCCTATTCCAATCCCCAGAAAACTAGACTTCAATGCATGTTTGGTCGTCTCTTTGGAGTAACATTGTTACAATTTGCAAATGATCAAACATATTTTATGCAGCACATAAAGAACATAAGTTGAACCGTTTTCACTAGTTGCACAACTTGAAATTAATCCCTAAAGTTGAATTTGTAGTGACCAAAGTAATTCTCAGACAACTTAAAGTTCGTGCATTCAAGTTACTTCCGGGAAGTTGGTCGATGAATTTCTAACCTTAAATGCCATCTAAAACACAGCAGAACAAATCTATTGCACAAGACAATTAGCAAAATAAATAACTCCTCCAAAAAAGGTTAAGACTTTAGTGTGCCTCAGAAGATAAATATCATATTCTACTTGTGCAGTAAGATGGATACCCAATTTCCGTTTGGTAACTGAGAAAATGCAAAAAACAAAAAATGAGGAACTAGAGCGAAAAATACAGAGGGAATTAAGAAAATTAGACAAAAGCGTATTACATGGATTGAGCTGAGGAAACACCAGCACTACAAAGGATCAGACGAGCGTTGGATTGGTGGCAGAGAGGACGAAAATTCCTCTTATGGCCGAAGAAGGGTGGCACCGCAAGGCTTCCAAGGCATTGATGCTGATGGTGGAGGAATCCGAATTGCTTGTGGCGACGGAGTTGGGAGGAAGCGGAGGTGTGCAGCGAATGCAAGCAATCCATTCGACCAAATGCCAAAGAAGAAATCAGGAGCAAAGACTAGAGAGAGAGAGAGAGAGAGAGTGTGTGTGTGAGTGACAGAGAGAGAGTGAGGTCTGGGTTTGGAAGCAGAGATCAGTCCATCATGACGATGACGAGGAGGAAGATTGGAGAAGTGAGAGGTACTTGTCTTTTTTTAATTTGATTAGGCCACGTGTCAGTAAGCGAATCGCAATCCCTAAAATAGATCCAATTTTGTCCGGGTCCTCTACGCAAAAAAGCTCACCAAAATTTAATGGTTGTGTTCCTTTCCGCTGAAAACCACGAAATAATTAATCAGAAAAGAAAAAATCTTCTTTTTTATATATTTGTTTTACTTTAACTCTATTTTCCTAGATATTTCTCGGAAAGGTTAAATAGTTGGTGTCTAAAACATCCACACAAATGAGATTTTGTCAACAAAAATAAATAAATTTGAGATTCCCGTTTGGTATTCTATTTAAGTAGGAAACTTAAAAATTTTAATTTTTTTTATATAAAAAAGTAGTTTTAAAAATTAATTTTATAACATTCAAAACTCATTTGGTATCCTATTCAAATAGGGAACTTAAAAAACTTTGAATTTTCTTAAAAATAGGGAGTTCCAAAATTCATGTTTTAAGATTCAAACACTTGTTTGGTATGCAACTTGAAATAGTTTCTAAAGAAAATTCTAAAAAAACCTATTCATTATGTTTTCAAGTATTTGAGTTTGAGTGTTTTGAGTTATTTTTTTAGTTTCGGTTTTCAAAACTAGGACTATTTAAACACTTTTTTTTTTTTTTTTATAGCTTCGGACTCAAATTTTATTTTTAAGCTTAAAAAGTTGGATTCAAATAAAATACCGAACATGTCCGCATATTTTTTGTAGAGCATCCTTCAAGGATAAGGTGTAATTTGGAGTTGTGATTCGACTATTTTTGTGGCATTTTGCCTAATCATTTTAGCAAAAAAAATTCTTCCTCCAAGTCATGAGGCAAGGACATTTTAGTAACCATTGTAAAGTTGTGTGAACCTTAATTTATTTATTTATTTAAATGGTAGAAACTATAAACATGTAGAATTATTAAATGAATTTTTTTATTACAAAAATTGTGTGAGGCATAATTTAGTAATAATTAAAAAAAAATTGTGTGATGGCTAATTTACTTCATGTTTCTCAACAAAGTATAGTTCTCTAGTGTGATATATGGGCAAGGTATAGGTGCCTAATGTGAGGAATGAGGCAAGTATAGTATGATGGGGCAATGCAAATAAGTATAGTTGTCTAATGTTGATGTGTTCGTTTTTATATATGAAGGATGTGAATATTAAAAGACAATATATTGACATAGTATCAATACGGGGTCAATATCATTATTGGTAAGATGTCAATAACAAAAGATATCGACATGTTATCGATACATTATCAATGCAATTCTCGTGTTTTAAATATCTTTGTGTGTGTACATATATGTATGTATGAGAAGTTTTAAGTGAGGATATCATATATCTTTAGATGATTATTAGTAGTACTCCAATATATTCATCATGCACTTGTCTCCCTATTTCTTTCATTAGTAAGGTGTTCAAAATGACTAATTTGGAGTGATAATAATAAGGGAGTTTCACTAAAACACCCAAAATGGGGGCTGAAATTATAAAAAAACCCAACACTCAAAACACTTTATAAACACGCTCAAAACCCATCATTACACACACTCAAAACCCATTTATAAATACACCCAAAAAATATACAATTGTTGATTTTAAGGTTGATTTTGGGTGTGTTTCTATGTTTAAATAGTGCTTGGGTTTTTTTATAAATACATGTATAGGATTGAGTTTATTTATAAATTTGTATAATAATAACTCTCTATATTTACACAAGAATAGGGTTTGTCATTGGGCCAAGCCAGGCCAACTTGGCCTGAAAGTTTTGGGCTTGGGACGGTCTTATTGGGCTTTTTGGTTTTCTAGGCCGGGTTGGGCTTGATAGGTTCATTATTTCTTATATTTTTATACCCTATATACTTGGTTTTTAAAGAGAAATTTGATTAAAAAGAGGCTTGTTGCTTTATTTTCCTTATTTGCAGCCTTCTTGCGCACTTATAAAGTTTTTTTTATTACGGAAATTGACATTTTAGAGGAATTTTAGTAGCTAAGACATCGAAGATCACTATGCGAAAATTGACTTTTAGCTTCGGATAATATCCATTGCTAAAGGTACCTAAGAACCGAAGTATTGGGAACCGATGCATATGATACAGTCATACGCTTCAGATATTATCCATTGCTAAAGATTATTTACAACTTCGCTATTTACATAATCACCGATACGTAAGTTGTTACCATGTGCCAAATGAACGTTGACCCCCGATGCCTAAACCTTTAATGGCATCAGGGAATATATTAGCACTGATGCTAAATATTCATTATAGCATCAAGGGTTTTGATTATACTAAAGCATGTTTTGACTTAACACTTCAAAATAAATGCTACTAATGTGGCAAATTATGGTTTGCACCTTCGTTTTTGTGCTTATGCTGAAGTGGAAAGCCTACGAATAGTTTGACTTTCTACAAATATTATTGACCCTTCTGATTATAAGCTTCAGTTCCCATGGAGTGCTGATGTTGTTTTTAATTTTTAACTTCAATTGTTATGGAAAAACTGAGGTTGTTATACACAATAGACATAGTTGTTATCAGTAAAGTGTAAGCAATTTCCATGTTTCACATCACATTTTACTTAGTTTCAGTCTCAAAATATAAAGGCATCACATTTTACTTAATTTCAAGAACACCCAATCACCAACTGCAAATACAAAATCCTTGGACTAGTTGTTCGCATAACCCTCCGGTAAGTATTGTGTCATTTTGGATTTTTTGACTGATCACTCTCACTTTTTCAATTGTCCTTTAAACAAACTTTAGCTTCTCTAGCTTTCTCTCACCAACCCCACTCTAATACATGAGAGTCCTACACTGCCTCCCGTACAAGGCCTCATTCTTAGGTACACACAAATGAATTCCCATTACCAAAGCTCGATCGCATCTCATCCCAAAATTCATCAGTGAATCGTTCTTCACTTTTAAACTTATCATGTAAAGCATTGAATCCTCCAGTTGGGACTCAAACACCAGTTCAACAAGCATGGGTTTCATATGGAAAACAGCAAGTAATTTTCATGCTTGATCCCTTTTTTAATTCAACCACAACTTTCCTCAATTCCATCAAAGGTGGCGATAAACCATTCAAAGGCGAGCTAGGGTTCCAATCAACTTCCTACTACAAGCCTCCATCATGACATCAGCTCGGCCAAGGTGGTACTCAATAGTACAACCATAATACTTGATTAACTTTGGCCAACATATTTGTTACTAAAATCAATTCTCTAGATGTAAAAGTATCTAAGATTTTGTGATTTGTTAAGATTTGACACGTCTCCCAACACAGGTAGTATCATCAAAATTTGAGGGCAACCGCCACTGTACTAAGCTCCAGATTATGGGTGGGGTAATTCCACTCATGCTTCCTGAGTTGCCTAAAGGCATAAGTAGTCACCTAATCACATTGTATTTACATGCATTCCAAAGCCTTGCAACAATGCACCATTGTACCTCACAAAGTTTCCTTTGTCATAGAAAATAGTTAAAACTGGTGCAGTGGTTAATCGCCTTTTGAATCCTTGAAAGTTAGTTCACACTCCTCGGTCTATACAACTTGATTCCCTTTCTTGTCAACAGAGCCAGGTGTGCAGCTATCGTAGAGATATGTTCTACAAACGATGGTAGTAACCTGCTAAACCAAGAAAACTCCTTATTTCCATTACACTGGTAGGTTGCACCCAATCTACCGATGCTCCCACTTTCTGAGGATCCACCACTATTCCTTCATCTGAAACCACATGCACAAAGGAAATCCATTTCCAACACATGCTGTTTCTGGATATGATGACAACCGATATCAACTTACATTGGTCTAATCCAAACGACACGCAACTTAACACTTACTTAGCTACTTTGGTTCTTCAACTTTCCATGCTGGCCATAGCCAACTTAAACACTTTCCTTGTGATAATGCATTGTCCTTACCCCCAAACCACTTGTTAATCCCAGTAGGTTGAATGGTCATACAACCTAAGAAAATATCTTCCACTGAAAACGGTATCGCATCTCGTTATGTTTTCTTCAACACTCAACTCAGATGCAAATCTCCAACACCTTCCTTTTCTTGAACCATTGTCATTCCAAGACTCATTGGGCTATCAGACTTGAGATATATGCTCTCATACTTTTTTTTTTTTCTGCTCATTGTAGACATTTCCTCGCAAGGAGTTATAACCCTCCACAACTCTACAGGTGTGCCCACAAGTTGCTTGATCTAATGCCCCAAAGAGGCTTTTTTAAAAAAAAAAATCTTTTTTTTTATGCTTAGCAGCTGCACATACAGCGCATATGGCTAAATATTTTTTCTAATTCACTTTCCCAAAACGTTTGGGACCAGGACAAAACAAAAAAAATAAAGAAGAAGCCTTACCCACAATCTAGAAGAAACGTTGATAAGGTGCAAGGTGTTTTTTTCACTCCACAGTTTTGGTCCAAGCTTTAACAAAAACTAGGAGTAGTCATGGGGTTGGGCTAGGAGTTTTCAATATGTTTCTTTATTTGTATTTCTTGTGCTATCTGTTTTGCATTAGGTGTTGGTGGTTTTGGATGTAGCTTCTAGCCTTTGCGTATGCTTTTGTATTTCTATTATTGGTTTCTGAGTTGTGTTGTGTTTCTTTAACGTATTCATTCTGGCCATATGTGGCTATGTTGGGAGTTACATTGTTGATGTCGGTGTACTCTCCCTGGACTAACCTTTGATGGTTACTGTGCCTCCATTTTTATATTAACCTTAAAAATTGGGTATCTGTATCCTAAAAATTGGGTATATTCCTTCAGGTTATGTATTTAGGTGAATAATGATGGGTGATAGAGTTCAAGCTTGTATAGAAATATAAGTAAAATCATGTAATTGCAATCTATTAAAATCATAAGTAAAATCTTAAGTGAATTAAAATCATAAGTAAAATCATGTATGTGCAATCTATTAAAATCATGAGTAAAATCATATAATTACAAATTCGGCTGAAATCCATTACATTAAAATC